CACCTGACTTTCACATCCACCCACACCTGACCTCATTTTCTCCATCTGTCTGCTGCGACCAAAGAAACGCCGCAGTCATTCATCTGAAAATATTACAGTAGCATTTCTCTCATCTTCTCATGTGGCAGAGCGTGATGATAAAACAAGTCGTGGAAATATTTCTTATTCGATGCTTTTATACACTGTTAGGCATTTCAAAGGGTTTTTAATTAAGATTTACAGTAGCATACTGTATTTGGTTTACAGTTGCAAACTGTACTTTTTACAGTAAATTACTGAATTCAGCAGTATACTACTGTAATTAATTCATTTGAATATATTTCATTAGATTTTATAATTTTTATATAGAATTCATTTTATTTGTACCCGACATAGGTACTACTGGCATTCAATTAAAACAGACACAATAAATCATGTGTGATGTATTGTTTTCCACTGATTTAATGCAAAACAATTGCTTTGAAAATGCATTACATGTTCAAATTAAAAATTATTGTTAACTGTAGATATACAGGTATGTTAATCATATTGTCAAAAATTAATTATTTATCTACAATTATTTAACTATCTATTATTATGTCTAATGTAAATGTATTTATATTATAATGGGGAAACAAAGAGCTCTTTCCATGATTAAGAATATACAAAACAAGAATTACAATTCTATATAAAAGAGGGACTTAAACTTGCTTAATTGTTGTTGTCTATCTCAAAAGGTAAAATTAAATATTAAAGCTGTTTTACAGTTACTTTATATGAGGTTTGCACTATAATAATAATAAATTGTTAAAAAAAAATTGAAATTGTTACTTAGTACGGACTACATAGTTTGGGATCAAATGTGGGTTTGTAGTTGTCAAACTTAACTTATATATTGTATTTATACTTATATCCCATAAATTAAAATGACTGATTTAGATGCATATAGTTGAGCTTGATGAATGCTATCAACATGTTGTAAAAAATTTAAAAAAATAAATAAATACAATTTTACAATCTCCATTCTATAGAAAGGGTCCAAATTATATTATTTTTATTGAGTGTTCTATTTTTAATAGGGAGGTGATGAAGTAACAAGGTTGCACACAGGGCCGGCGCGTGCATATAGGCGAACTAGGCAGCCGCCTACACTGTTAAGACATTTCAAAGGGTTTTTACAGTAACTTACTGGCAACACTGTTGCCAGTAAGTTACTGTAATTACGATTTACAGTATCAAAATGTATTTGGTTTACAGTTGCAAACTGTACTTTTTACAGTAAATTACTGTAAAAACCCCAATTCATCAGTATACTACTATAATTAATTCATTTTAACATATTTCGTTAGATTTTATCATTTTTATGTAGAATTCATTTTATTTTTACCCTATATACTGGCATTCAATTAAAACAGACACAATAATTACAAAATGTCAAATTCTTTATTTAAAACATTGCATGTATAACACTTATAAATACAGTCTTCCAATGCTGGAACAGTGCATCTTCATTTCTCCTGTCTTAGGACATTTTGCAGTGCATTATGTTGTATCATCTGGATTTATCCTAACAAAGAATCTTTAGGCAACAGAAACATAATGGGGAAAAAAGATAAGCAGCCAAAGAATACATAGCCATCTGCAAAACCAGGTGCTGCTCCAAAACGTGGCCACCACCTTTGCTCACCACCCACTTTGTTAGTGACAGAAAAGTGTCTTCTCTGAAAAACAAGTAGAAATGGCACACTTTTAAAAGGCAAACCCCATATAAAATACACAAATCTCTCAAAACCATAGTTGTTCTCTTACCATGAATTATCAGTCTCAGGGTGGCTGGCCTGCTCATGTCTTTCTTGATGCTTCATTGTAGCTGCCTTTAAAACACAAATACAAAAAATGCAGTAAATCTTAAATTCTATTAAAAACTATAACAAACTTCTAAATCTAGAAAGGCAGCTAGCCATAAAACTAGTTTAACTAGCTAACATACGATTTTATTTTCTCAGTAGGCTACTGGCCAACATTACCTACTAACACCTGAACAAAATTTCACATTAGTTACAATGTTAATACAAGATAAGCGTTGCTCGTTAAAAGTCATTTTAATTCAGTAATTCAATAAGCTGACAAAAGTCGTTTGAAACGACAGCGCAGTTTACCATAGTAAAGTTTGTTACCGCTATGTTGACGGGTAAATGTTACTAGGTTAAACTGGTGTGCAAAAATGTTGACACAAACAGACAGACAAACGTACATATATTTTTTACCTTGCTTACCGGTCTTATTCTCTCGTAAGGTGCATCGACACACAGCGCAGATGTTCTCCGGAACTCTTCCACTCTCGCTGCCGCACTGGTTCCGTGTCTTTCTCGGACGCGAGTGGCGCGGCGCGACTCGACAAAAGACAATATAGAACCCATTATACTATCTACAGTGGATGCAGACAGTAAAGTGAAGCCGCTGTATATTTCTGACACACAGATGTACTCCAAGCGCTCGCGCTGTTTCTGACACGAAGGACAACCGTATTTTCCAATCATTACAAAAGATGTAAAATCCAGTGTAATCAGTCCCAAGCTGTTGCGGCATTGTAGACACGGTGTAAGTCAAATATTGTCAATCCAAATGTGAGAAATTAGAAAAATAAAGCAGTCTCAATAGAATGGCGCCAAAGAGACCGTTACGGCAAATACAGTAGCAATTAAAAAAAATACAGTAAGTCACTGTATGTGGGGTTTGACGTCACAGAAAATTCTCATGATGCAAAGGGTATTACGGTTACTTACTGTAAAGCGAATTTGCAGTATTATACTGTGTGATGTAGAAATGAGAGAAATGTCTAACAGTGTACTCATTAGCACATGCACAAGTTTGTTCTAATGAATTCCTTAAAGTTCAATACATCAGCATATCAGACGCTGTTTATTACCACTGAAAATAATTTAGACTAATATCAGTTTGTAAAGACAAGCAAAAACCTGTTTACAGTAATGAAAAAATATAATAGAAGTCTGTGGGGAAAGTGTAGAGGACATTGTTGTAGTATTAAGGGTCATGTTATAGCTTTATAGAATATTTTGAATATATGTTCTATTTTGAATATGTGGTCTGTTTTAATTTTCATTTTAAATTTAGATGAGTTTGTTGTTTTTGCCATTGTTATTTATTTTTTTATATATATATCTATATATGAAGAGATCTGATGCAAAAGCCTAAGTGCCTTTTGAAATGTTCTTCTAAAATGAGCATTTTTCTTAGACTCGTATGTTTATGTTCAGTTATTGTGGTTTTGTGAGACAATATGTTGAAAACGGTCGGGTTGACAGAAATCAGACATGCGCAAGAAACACTCTGTACTCCACAGACGAGAAAGAATCATTGGTTTCATTTTGCGTGTCTTAAAGTTTAATAAAAGCACTTTAAAGCTTCGCAATTAAAGGCTAAATCCACACTGTCAACATCCGTCCCTGTGGCGCGGCGCGGCGCGGCGCTTACAGCAGAACGAACGAGTCCCGTAGGGCTGCAGCTAAATTAAACTCAGATCAGGGAACAGAGCAAAACCCACGGATTTACAGCGAGATAAAGGAGAGTCCGATAATCACAGATAACAGTGAACCGAGAGAAAAGACGGAGAACATTATGTCGTCTGAATAAATATGCAAGACAATTATATCACTGGAAACGTGAAGTGCTTTTGTTGGCTGATGAAACCTCAACAGACCACTTTCATCTACATCTTCATCTATAATAATGACTTGACAAAATATCATGTGATAATGGCTTGAGTGTCTCATGAAAATTCCAAACTTTCTCAATGATGATCTAGTTTATTGCAAAAATTCAAACATTTTTCATAATGACTTGAGGAAAATTCCTGTAACAATGACTTGGGTTCTGATCAAATTTAAAATAATTCTCATGACAATGACTTAGTTTCTCGTAAAAACTCAAAATGTTTTCATAACAATGACTTGGAAAAATTCACGTAATGAATTATCATATAATGTTTTTCGTAAAAAAAAATTCAAAATGTCTCATAATAATGACGTAGTTTATTGTAAAAAAAAAAAAACCTCATAGTGACATAATGACTGTTTCTTGTAAAAATGCAATACATTCTCAAAATAGTGACTTGCGAAATTTCATGTAATGACTTGGTTTTTCATAAAAATTCAAATTTTTTTCATAGTGACTTTAGGAATAATAATATAGTAATGACTTTCCCATAATAATGACTTGAGTTTAATGTAACTAGTTTTTTATAAAAGTTTAAATAATTCACATAATAATGAGTAACGACTTAGTTTTTCATTAAAAAATTCTGAAATTTCTCATGACTTATTTTATCGCAAAAAATTAAATATTTCACACGAGTTGAGAAATTCTTGTAGTAATGACTGTTTCTCAAAAATTCAAACTAAAAAAAATTACGAGAAAGCTTCTCATTAGTATTACATGCTTAACCATGATTGTGATAAATTCTCTTACAATGAGATGCATTTAGCAAAATTATGACACACAAAATTGTATTTTAAAGTGGAAACAGGCTTCTATAGTGGTTAAATGAGTTTATTTGTCAAATTAATGCATACCAAAAAAATGTCATACCTAAAAGTAGGCTTTTTATCTCATTTAAACAATGTTTCTTTCTTTTCATTTTGGGGTGAAATGAACATGTTTTTATGAGTCATTCAGAGAAGAAAGAGAATATGAAAAAAGCCACATACAACAGCATGATCACAGATATAAAAAGATAAAGACAGTTCTTTTAATAAATAACACTGGCTTGGATCAGATTGGTAAGGGATCCACCCCTTCAGGGAGCTCTGACTTCTGATTGGTCTCAGAGAGCAAAAGCCTCATTGATATTCATTTACATTCCATTGGTGAGTTCCATGTGACTTTACTGCACACAATAACATAAACCATAAAAATAAAACTGAAACAGAGAAGCTACATTATATCAGAGTCTCCCAACACTGAACAGAAAACTGTAGACGAGTGTGTGTGTGTGTGTCTTGTGTTATTAATAGGGGTTTTGTTTAGGTGGACGCATGACCTGTAGCTATACGTCTGAGTGTGTGTGTGTGTGTGTGTGTGTGTGTGTGTTCATCGCGGCGGTCTGGACTGACACACACAGTCACATCTCTCATGATGCTGCAGGTGAATCTCCTCCAGAACCCATTGAGCTCGTGTTTTCTTCCTGTAGAAACTCGGACCTGGAGAAAACTTCAGCACCTGACAACATATGCACACATATACGCAAAATATTAAAAGAGAAATTTAGTATTTTTTGCTATTAACTACAACAGCTAAATGCAAGAGTCAAATAAATTTAGCATTTGTTTTGCAACTAGAACCAATTTAACCAAATAGATTAAAAACCTGTAACTATAACTAAACATAAAAAAATGAAATCAAAGTCAGGAAATTTTGTTGCTTAAAAGTAAATAAGTAACATTTTTATAAAATAAGTATAAATTCATTCAAATGTAATACTGTTCATACATGCATACATAAGCCACTGTAAAAATAATAATAATAATAACATGGGAAATTTAATTCAACATTATTTTGTGGTATAAATGACTGCTACCACAAATAAATAAATTTAATAATAATATTAATAATAATAATATTTTCTAGTTTTAAAAATTAATATTTCTGTAACACTTAACAAAAAGGCTCCATCTGTTAACATTATTTAACTACATTAGTTATCATAAAGTAATAATTAAAAACATTGTAATTAAAATACTTTAAATGTTTAAAATGTAACCATGTTAAACATTTGAATTATATCAGTTATATTATATCATATATCAACCTTGACAGTCTGAAAACACTAAATAAATAAATAACCAACCTACACTGAACATAGTAAACAATAAAAAAAAAAAAAAACTAATCAAAATTCACACAATAAAAACCAAAAAAAATGAAACTAAATTAAAAGACAAGTTTAAAATGAAATAGATATAAAAACTATATTCCTATATTGTCCTACACAGAGCAGGAGAATTCCTAGATTGTCCAACATTGTCCTATTAATTAAACCTGAGGGGGTGTGTGCGTTTGTTTGATTATTTCAGGACATTAAAAAAACGGGAAAGAAGAAGAGACAGACAGCACACTTTACAGCTGTCATCAGTTCAGATGAAACACTGCTTTGTGTGTGTGTGTGTGTGTCTCAATGGATTTCATGTGTCATTTGCTGATAATCTCACACAGAACAACGAGTGTCACACTGGTCACATCTGATCAGAGGAAAACAGCAGCAGACGGAGAAACAAGGGAAGGCAGACGGAGACAAGGAAAAATAAAGTGTGTGTGTGTGAGCTATAGGATAATGGAAAGCGAATGGATGGAGAGATACACTGGAGTTTCAGCACACAAAATATAGCATGTGTGTGTGTTTGGAGCTGATAAGCAGAGAGAGGAACACACTTCACTCGCTCAAACCTCACAGGAAAAACAAATGCTCCTGACAAACACACAGAATTCACCATTCCATGTCTACATAAGATGCTGTGCATACCAGTATATGTACACATACAAACGCTCAATTTCAACATTTCATGCTGAAACGCCGACTTGTTTTGACTGAAATCAGTAATTTTGAGTTGCAAGAGCAGCATCCAGTTTCTAAACGAGCTGATTATTTTCAGTGAATCGCTTCACAAATCGCACTAAATGATTCATTTGCACATCAGACTGATCTCATTGCAGTGATTCTTGAGTCAACAACTCGTCGATTCAATGATCTGTTTAGAGTGACGCAAAATGAGCCAAGAAGCGGTTTATCGCCACTGATCGCCTAAAAAAAGCAAGTTACTAATTCTGAATTTAGTATTGATTACTGTCAATAAAAATCATTTTATACATTTTGTCCATATGGCCACATATGTGTCACTGTTTGCACAGGCTAGGCGATTTAATGTAAAATAATACAAATTATTAAAAAAAAATCTGTTACTTGCAGTAAATGTTAACTGAAATATTAAAAATTTATTTATTAAATTAAATATTAAAATTATTTCAGCTACTTCAGCAAACATACAATTTCACATGTTCATTTAGTTTAAATAAACAAACTAAAACATTTATGAAAAACTACATAAACATTACAAAAAACAAAAAAAAAGGCAAAACCAAAATTACTTAACTAAAACATTAAAATACCAAATTCTAAAAATATAAAAATAAAATCCAACTCAAAATATTAACAAAAACTAAAAGAGTATATATATCAATGATACTATAATATCACTGTTGTTTATATTTTTAGATTTAAATATACACTGTTAGACTTTGCTGTAACTTTACAGTTACTTACCGCAAAAAAGCCCAGTAAACTACCATATATATGTTTTACGGTTAACTACTGTAATATGCACTGAATTATGGGTATTTTAATGCCATTTACAGTAATTTACTGTATATGGGAATTTGCAGTACTTTACTGTTTGCTCAAAAGCAGTAGTGCTACTGTAAATTGTTCTGCAGATGAAAAACATGAATCTGCATTCTCAATATAATGTCTGGGTAAGCGCAAGTGTGGTGAATTAAATGCATTTTTAAAATGATTAAAAAATAAAATATATAAACTTTGCTTACACCCCACAAAATTTAAATTTTATTCGCGCGCAAAGTCCGCGCAACAACCTGGCAGAAGTTATATAAACTGAGGCTTGTGTCGGGTGTGCGCATAACGGACTTCCCCTCTGAGTGAATCGCCAGACGTCAGCTGCGAGTTTTCCTGTGGTAAGTACTTTTCACTTACTTTTAAAATGTAAACCATTATCAATATCAATGAAATTAAAAAAATATGAAGGAGTAAATGTAAAATCTAATTGTAGGCTATCGCTAGGACAGTCTGAGGGAAATGTTCGTTTTCCTCAAAAACTGCCGCTTTCATGGAACTCATTCAATTGTCCTGCAACTGACTAGTATAGTGACTATACAGTATAGTGACTATACTGACCTTTCCAGTATAGATGTGTAGTATTTACATGAAAAATTATTTTTTGACTTTTTTACTGCTAGTTATGGTGTATTTTACTCCTCAGTTAAATGAATGCCGTTAAATGTGTGTGTCATTTGAATAGCACGAGCGCTCTCTCTCTCTCTCTCTCTCTCTCTCTCTCGCGTGCGAGATGGGTAGGCCTATATGTCACACGCTCTCTCTCTCTCTTGTAAATGAAACATTTACGCCAGTACATATACCAGAGAAAAAAAATATATTCAAGTAAAATTATAATCAATTAATTCAAGAAAGAAAATGCATTCTTTATTATGGCTTCTTGTTTGTTAATAGAAGCAAGGTCTCATCAAAGTCAGTATTCTCTTAAGTTTCATATTAATTATTTTTTAGATTTTA